TTTTCCTGCATTTCGAACGAATAGCAGCAAAATAATTGAATAATTAAGTGTAATTCGTTGTTATTCTTGCTCAATTGGCAAGTCGTTTTGCTGCATTCAGTTGATTTCATTGAATTCGATTTACTTTGTTTTGGTTTGACTATAGATGTTTTTTTAACATCACTCACAAAGCAACAACTCTTAATGAATCCGATCTTTATTCTTTCTCAATGAAAATAAATGCTCATGCTCAACAAGTGTTGCCACCCATTTCGCACTGAGTTGAAAACTCCAATCTGAGCATATAAAGTGATCGCTGAATCAGCAGGTGCATCGTCCGTTCGTTCAAATAGTTTGTTTCATTCAACTGCACATATTCGTCAATCCATCCCTCGTCAGAAGTCGCGAATGGATGAGTTGTTAAGAATTGAAATTTAAGAAAGAGCACAGCAGAAGGGATCAAAGAAGAGCAATCAATCCAGTCATTTAAAACTACTCGAAAAGTTATCATCTGGCTGAGTTGGGCTAATAGCGCCTTTCGTTAATATGCAAAGCTGGAAGGAAAGCTATTCGTTGCATAAGCAAGTGGGGTAATATTATGATCGATTCATGCTCGACGATTTTCGCCAAAGTTCGATTCGATTCAACGGTGTTCTTTCGTTGAGTGAATGTGATGTAGGTACTAACGGTAGAGGCGATAATAGCAATAAGCATTATGTGCATTCAGTTGGCTAATTTTACTGAAGCAAAAATTGTTGCTTTTTGCACTGAAGAGTAGATGTTAGTAAATTGGTCATTCAGTAGGTAAGTGAAGTAGTTCGCTTGTTAAAAAGTCACCATACCTAATTTTCTTTTGTTAGCTGAAAAATAATGATTAAAGAGCAGTAAGTTATAGAAGTGGGTAGGTGCTCTATTAGTGTGCGTTAACAACGAACGTTGAACACGAAACAAGAAGAAATGTGCTGAAAAGAACGGAATGATTAGGCACTGGGTTGAATGGTTGTCCGAACGGAAGTAGTGAATGTGTTAACGAAGGATTCGACATTTAATTGCTATTGCTGAATCAAATTTGCTGCTGTTAAGGAGCATTACCGTGATCGTTATTATTATTATTATTATTATTGTTATAATAATAATAATAATAATTATTATTATTATCAATATTATTATTATTATTATCAATATTATTATTATTATCAATATTATTATTACTATCATTATTATTATCAATATTATTATTATTATTATTATTATTATTATTATTATTAATATCATTCGGTTTTAAACAAAGATTTTGCCCACAAGCGGATGCTATTATTATTGTTGTTACCTCTATCATTGTCAGTTTTATTCTTATTGTTTTATTATAATTATTTTCGCCAATATCACTGTTATTATAATATATTGTGATTACTTGAATGTTTATTGTGCCCAGAATACAAACATGATTATGCGGCATGTATGCTTGTTGTTGTTGGAAAAGATTGTCATCGAGGTTGTTGCGGTAGTTTTGAATGTTGAAAGTGTTTTGCTTGCTCTTCTTCTTCGATCAGACAGACAGAAGAGGAATTAGAGTTTGGTCAGCTGTGTTTAACGCATTATTATGCTTCCTGAACTAATTGTTCTTATTCACTTGTTCATTCTTGCTTCATTATTTATTTGTTCAAAATTTGTTTTACTTTATTCAGCACACTCCCACCATCATTTGTTGCTGTCGTTGATTGTTGTTATTCGTGCATTCTGTTTCGTTTCAGTGTGAAAGTGGAATGATTTAATGCTATTGTGATATGACTATTACAGTATGTTAGCGTCGTTCGTGATCATTGACTACGATTGATATGGTATGAAACTAACGAATGAGGGAGATGAACTGATTCATCAGCCAGCTAGTTGCGTACATCAGTTGAATTGAGACAAATGGAAAGGGACGCGGAGGAACGAGGGCATTAAGTGTTTATGGTACTTCAATTCTGGTCGTCAACAACTAGTTAAATTATGGATTATCAATTATTAGATATTCATTTATTTACCTGTTGTTATGCGTCAGTTCGTTTTGTTATTCTACCTGAAGCATGCCATATTACCGTTGGCATTCATCTTTCTCGTTCTTTCAAATAAGTGAACGGATGAGCGACTAATCTTTAAGCTTTATCACCACTCAATTTTAATTGCTTCAAACACTGTGTCGAGAACGAGTACAAGTCTAGCAATAACTAAATCATCAACAATTTTGTTCATATTACGATGGGGGCTTCACTCACTTAAGATGAGCCTCGGGCTCAGGCCCAGCATCCGCTTGATATTTGACCATAGTTAGGCACGAACCGGTTGAAGATGGCCCAAACATCAGCTGATCAGGCTGGTTCAGAATTGTTTATTGATGATTTTAACAAAACATTCCATTCGAATCGATAGAAAATATCTTTAAATCTCAATCCATCTCCTTTATTGTTTCTCTCTCTGAAGTTGAATAATGCGATATTTTTATTGTTGTCACTAGTGTTCGTCGAGGAACGGTCTCCCCGTCGGGGACCCCGACGGGGAACGCGGGGAGCGCTCCCCCCGCGCAATTTGCTTCCCGAATTTTTTGCGGGGACCTCCCCCCCGTCCAATTTACTCCCCGCAGGGTACCCCCTCCCGTGCGAAAAACTGCTCCCCGACGAAGACTGGTTGTCACTATTGCGTTGCAGTAATTGCATCGTTCGTTGTCTTCGATTCAATAAAAAAAGCAGAATTGAACCAATATTCACCTATTCTAAGCCGAAACCTCTTAACAAATAAAAGAAGAATAGACTGAACAAGATACATCTCAGAACAAGCGAGAAAATGTATCACGGAGACTGAAGTTTCCGGAACGCTCAAGCACTCGCCAATCAGTCTCATGTTTATGGAATGCGATCAAACTTTTTCATATTTTCCTGATCAATAGTGTATAGTATAATTTCAATTCATTTGCCCGATTTAACGTCAACCAAAAATATCGTCGTCGGCATTTTACGTATATTATCGTTCTACACGCACAGGGGTACATGTATAAATGTGGACGGATATGATGTATATATAAACAGATGTATGTATATGTTCATCCATATCTGATCATCTTTGAACAATGTTCTTTCTAATGTCCAACCAACTTCCCGTAACAAATATGATTATTCATTCCAGCTTGAATAATCGTAATTCATTTTTGAAAAATGTTATGAAGAAAAGTTGAATGCTGTGAAGCGTAGATAAATTTTCACATAGGCGCATGATGACTACGAGTGTAATGCGTGCGCTCATATATGTCCTCATGTGCTTACATATTACTGCATCTCATAAATGATATAATATCAACGATGTTTCATGTAAGCAACCGATTTTTATTCGTACATACTAAACGTATAGATGGATATATTCAAAACCTATAAGTTTTAAGTTGATCAACGAATATACTTCTAAAGATTGATATGATTAAGAGGAAATAGTGCCGCATTTGATGCTAATTTGAGATGTATTTGATTGGACCACTGAGTGTTCATCAAAAAAAACTATTGGTGTTTTCAAGTAGATCCTTTCATAGATAGATTATCTTCACTGATTATTCATCAGATTCCTAGTTTGAAACTAACATTACACCATTTGCCTTTAGCTGTAGCAATTATACGATGATAACGAGACACATTCCGATAAAATCGTATCAATTTATTGTAGCAATTTCCTATGGTCATTTACTGGACAAGTGCACCCTTGAAAATGAGTAGAATATAATTGAATAAATAACTGAATGCATTTGATTGATTAGTATTTGATCTGCCACTACCATTGGCTCCGATCAAATCAACCTTAAGGTTTCTTTGTATCCTGAATTTATCGCATCCATATTCAGCGACCTATCTGTTTCAGATTAATTACTCATCTTTTCATCTAGACATTATCCATTCATCCAGACAGTATTTTTTCACCCATTTACCTGCATATAGGTGAATCGAAATTAGTAATGGTTGATTCATTCATAATATTGCAGAAGAGTTTGTGATTAGAACTGATTTCATGAAATCGCTCGTTTGCTTACACATATTCTTAAATGATGATTATAATAATAGTGAATGTGACAATTTTAGCGAGCAGTTGAGGTGGACGACGATGAATTGCTTACTGATCATTTTATTTGTTTATATCTAGACAGGAGTTATTCATTGCAGGTTTCGGCCAATAATTGATTCATCAATCGATCCATGTTAATTTGAACGTTGTTGTTGTTGTCGTCGTGACTACTGACTCTTGTTAAGAGAACAGGACGAAACGGAAAGTTGAAGCGCAAAACAAACAGCCAATTAATGATTCATTAGGTGAGTAAATTATGAACAGTCAGCAATAAGAGTATAAATTATGCGAAAGTTAAGTGACTGCAATTGACAGCAGCCGATCATGAGTGTTAGCATCAACATCAACGATTCATCCATTCAACCATCCGCTTCGCCCATCGTAGCCATCCATCCGTCCATCCATCTATCCATATTTCGACTCGACTGAACCAACAACAAGAAGGCGAAAAGCTCTTCACATCAAAATAATTTTCATTTCAATTATCGTCATCGTGTCAACAACATCGTCAATCTGCCATTCTCATCTTCTTTGATTTCATCGAAGAACTGGACACTAACACTGCCAATTTCTTCTTATCCTTCTTCCTTTTGAATTTTTGATTCTAAAGGCACCGAGCACTTCGGAGAAATCATTCTTTTCTTTTTCCTATCTGTGCATTCATTCATCCGTTCAGAGAAGTATCACAAAAAGAAATACCGATCACTCTTCATCACTTATTGTGTGTATATGTGTTGTTTCGATCATTGCTCCACAACAAACCAGAAAACTTAGTTCCTATTTTGCATATTCCAATCATCATTTTTTTGTTTTTGATCATCATTTTTTGTTTTTCCGTACCCTCGTTTTCTTAGTTGGTTAACTGAATAACTGAATACTAACTGGAAATAGAAAATAAGACACGAAACAAAAGCCACTTTTCATTGTTTCGAAAAATGCTAACCGATCACTTGGAACGAATGCTTCTATATACTGTTAACGTTGATAATAGTGATATTCAAACGCCTGCTCAGTTAGCAATCAGTCGTATTTTTCAGATAGACTATGAGTCGTATTTCGCCAGAGAATGTTCTTCTTGTGCTAACAGTATTTGGTGTTATAAGTGGTATATTTCTTGGGATTTCGTTGAGAGATCCAGAAATGAAATGGACGAAAAAACAACTGAGCTACCTCAGATTTCCAGGCGATGTATTTGTGCGTATGTTGAAAATGATGATTCTACCGCTAATTATGTCATCAATTATGTGAGCTATGCATTAATTATTTATCCATTGCTTGTCGAACCATTCAATCATTCCACTAATCAGAATATCACATTTATATTGATAATAGCAAGTTCATTATATGAACTAGTGCTCATCTTTAATCTCGCCATATTAATTCATTAACAATTCGAATGTGTGTACTTATTCGAAGGAACACTATCGATCTCTGATGCTTCAGCAGTACAACTTTCTTTGCCCTCGACGGTTAATTGTTTATTGTTGAGGGGAATGTGCTCCGTTCATTTGGGCATTGATTGACTCAGTTAAGCAGTATCGTGAATAGCCAGCGCATTCTAACTAACTTTCTTCTCAAATTAATGATAGTAACAGCTGTAGCAGCAGCAACATTTTTTGATATGGAATGTACTGAAAAGGTATTGAAAATGCATTCATTGAGAATGATGCGAAAGATAAGGAGGCATGTACGTATGGATGGATGGATCTATGCAAAATATCAATGTGAGTGAATAACAAAACAAGATTACGATAGCATCAGCGATTTGCTATGCTTCTATCGCTTGTGCACTAAAGCGTCACTGCTCAGCGAAATCTCAAGCTATGCTTAATGACACCCAGTGAAAACCCTTCAGTTGACAAAATAGCAAGTTTCAGCCAGCTTGAGGTCAACTTTAATCAAGTCGCAGTAAAACGCTAAGCTGGGGCTTCAGGAATTCTTAGTTTTTGGAAATGATCATTTCGATGGCGCATTTCAACTGAACACCATTTCGATTACTGCAAGTGATGATTGGATGGAATGCTGTTGAGTGAGCGCAAAACGAACAGCATGACCATATCCTTAATTGCAATAAGAATGGAATTGTTGAAGGAAAAATCAATCTTGTGAATGGATAATGGCTGCAGAGTGGAGCTGCGATTAACTTCGTCATTTGACTAACTCTATCCGTTAAATTGTTTCCGTTTTGGCTATAGCTTATTTGTCTTGAATGTACGGTTCGATATGATGAACAGTCAACATTTTGTTTACCAATCAACTCTCATCGGCGACAGTAATAAGAACCGGTGTCATTGGATGCTTGCGACTGGTTTTTTGGTCCAACTTGTGAGTAAGCGCAGCAAATGAATGAAAGAGAGAAAATATAACCATATACGAATGGCCAATGTGAATGAGCCTAGAGCGTGGCTTCATGGATTGAAATGATTCTAAAATGGTTACACTAAAAGTTGTAGACCCTATTCCGAATTATACTCCCATCTAAATAAATAGAAGCATACATATACACTGACACATTAAAAAAAGATGTTCATATCTGCTTATATTTACTCATCTACTATTAATTATTCATTACCATATGTTGATTTCATGCCGTTTTTTCCTATATCTCAAATATCATCAGCAAAAGTAATCGATCACCCGTACTGATGAACCAAAAAATGTGTTCTTTTTATTTGTTTAGAGTAATTTATACGATTCGATTTACTGTTCGATAACTTCTTTACTCGAGGTCAATTTTTTCGCTTACTGGAAGAAGTGATTTTTGTCTGATAACATGTATATGTTTCAGTAATTTGAATAATATTGATAATAATGATCATAATATTACCAATGTTCCAGTACCACTATTAATTGCTTTCATTATTATTGCGTATTCACTTCACCTTTTCCAAAAAAATTTCTAGATCCTCTTTGGCTAGTGTTGATTCAGCTACAGCCGGTCGACTTGGTATGATATCACTTGTTTATTATTTTACCACGACGATGATTGCCGTTATAATTGGTATGTTTCATCTGAGGATATCATTTGTTTGCCACTCACAGATCATTACTATTCAATCTTTTCAGCTTTTGGCGTACTACCTTTCCAATGGCTGAGACATATCTTATGATTCCTATTTGTTTTATTGTCAGGTCGTCCCTTTGCGTACTACCTTCCAACTTGTTGTATAACTCAATAATTCTTTATTGTAAATTCGTTAAAGAATACAAATTCAGGAAACAGTATGTAATTGCGCCAGTAGTAGTAGCAGTAATAATCATCATAATAATAATGATCACATTATTATAATGATGATTAGTAACCATCAAAATCCAAGTCCTAATGGTTTCACCACGAACTCAAACGTAAACAAAAACAAGACTGTAAATGAGCAATACCATGCATTCACTGTTGCGGAAACAATAAGTATTTTCATGTTGTTGTTTTAGGAATCGTTCTGGTTGTATCTGTAAAGCCAGGGAAATGGATGAAAACCAATATCGAGGACTTTATTGGCAGCGCTAAAAGTGCACCGTGCATTTCAAATGCTCTCGATACAATATTTGATCTTATCAAGTTTGTCAATGTTTATTTATATATTCATCTGTTATTATTATTGTTATTGTTGTTATTATTAATGTGCTGCTTATCACTGTTATTATTATTATTATTGCTGATATTATTTTTTGAGCTTCACTCCTGGTACTGTTTTTCTCCATTTCAGGGCACTTTTCCCAGAAAATCTCATTGAGGCAACCTTCAAAAGTGTACATTTTATGATTTTCTCTGTTGTTTTTGTAATTGTTATTGGTATCGTTGTGTCAGTGTTTTTTACGCAAAATCTTTTGCCCAATTATTTTTGGGTGTAGTAGTCAACAGTGGGTGTTATCAGTGAACAGCAACAATGTTCGTTTGAGGGAAAATTGGTTGTAGGAGAAGGTTTGCATGAAGTTCCTGAATGGTACTGTACGAATCGACTCTGATGTAGCACTTAAAATGAGCCCAGGCAGGTTATTCGCTTCTTCTTTGCTAAAATAAAATCTGAAGTAAAATTGGAAACAAATTGATAATTCAGTTCATTTTGGATCAAAAAGAAAAGGGGACACAAATCGAAGAGCAGAGCTAAGCAGTACTCAATTAATGACCCACACTGCAATGTTGTCGATGTGATTTATAATGTTTAGAGCAACGAAGTCAGTATCAAGAAGTACCTGAAGTAATACGTTCGGATGGTATGAATATACTAGGACTGGTGATGTTCTCTGTTTGTTTGGGGCTTGTCGTGTCAAGAGCTGGTGAGGATGGTGTCCCACTGAAAGCATTTTTTAAATCGTTGGAAACAGTCAGTATGCGACTTATATCGCTCGTGATTTGGTACTGCGACTATTATTATTATTATTATCATTATTATTATTATTATTATTATTATTATTATTATTATTACTTATATTATTATTATTACTTATATTTTTATTATTATTATTTTCTGTTAAATGCTAATTAGCGCTTTGCTTATTTGATATGTCGTATTCATCAATCAGGTATCATCGTTAAAGAATACTAATTGATGTGCTTATAGCATCATAAAGCATAACATTTTGTAAAGAAGCAGTTTTTTTGTAATAGGTAAGCACGCAAGTATCAGAGAACATTAACGATTCGTGGTTATCAAGTATTCCTTGCGGTTAAGCACATTTCATCATTGTTAGCCAACGATCTTCGAGTTTCTATGTATTTTCATCTCAGTACAATCAAACGTCAGCTTCATGATGCATTTATGTAAACTTGTTATTATAAAAGCCCGTTGAAATATATGTGAATCGATACCAAAGTCGATACGAGCTCAACTCTAAGAACATGCATGGAGCTGGAGATATGAGTAACTGATGAAGAATAGAAAATAACATAGATATGATAAGCGAAAATAAATAATGAAACTTTTGAGTGAATTGTTTGGAACTAAAAATATTGAATGCTGTTCTAATAGGTTTTCACCAATCGGAATAACATTTCTTATCGCTGCTCAAGTCGTTGGAATGAAGGACCCTGGTAAGGAACTTCAACGTCTTATGGGATATATGATATGCGTTTTAGCAGGCCTCTCAATTCATGGATTTATTGTATTGCCAACACTTATGATTATTGTTAGTTCCTAATTTTATTCACTTGCTCGTTATTAGTTTTTTTTTCATTTTCAACAATATTCTTATTCTCGGTGTTATTCTTATAATTAGTATTACTTTTATTATGCCTGCTGATAATACTTTCGTAATCAAATTATCATTAGTATTGCATTATCATTATTATTACTGTTAGAGGCAGTACCATTACCATTGTTAATATTGTTGTTGTTCTTAATCGTGATCTTATTTTGTTGATCTTCTTATAGGTGGCCAGGAGAAATCCGGTCAAATATGTCTATGGAATGACTCAAGCACTACTGACAGCTCTTGCCACTAGTTCTAGGTGTATTATCATTGAATCATTTCATTACTATTACGATCATTCTTAATCAATATCATTCATATAAATATCACTTTTATGACCAATGCTAATGTCGCCATTAATTCAGTTTTTAACACAAATTAATTCTTGTACTAAAAATTATTTCTCCCAATCGCATAGGTGGTATCGTGTGAACGCAAGCAAATGAAGAACAAATAAATGCTTGCATTGTTTTAGTTCTGCAACACTTCCGCTTAGCATTAAGTGCGTTGAAGAGAACAATGGCGTCGATCCAAGAGTCGCAAGATTTGTGTTGCCTTTAGGGGCTACAATGTGAGTTTTCATTTGAGAGTGTGATAAATAAGGCTGGAAAGTTATTGTTTATATCAATTTTGTACGATGAAAATTTTTGGATATGTTTTTGGATATATATAAGCGAGTCTGGATAATTGTGAGTTTAAACTGATCTTTTTCGTTCATTTTTTTTCGTTCAGAAACATGGATGGAACTGCTCTGTACGAAGCAGTTGCCGCTATTTACATCTCGCAATGTGTTGGGTTGGATTTATCAATTGGTAATGTCATATTGGTTAGCTTGACGGCGACATTAGCGAGTATTGGTGCGGCTGGTATTCCTCAAGCAGGTTATTTGATCGGTTTTAAAATCGTAATTTGCACACTTTGTGCAAATTACGATTTTAAATTTCCATAATTTTTCTTCTTAATTTTATGATAATTTTCTTATTGTCGATACATATTCACGATCAGTGTTCTTCATCATTTTCAGACAGTAAAATTTCCAGATTTGTTTCTGAAGATAAACTTTGAATTAAGTAATGCATCATCCTTTCCTTGCGGAGGGCAATGTAGGAAAGTAGCCCTATACATCTATCATCGCCAAACCAATGATCTTTTTATGGAGAACAGGAATTCATTGCATTGCTATCGTTAAGTGTGTGTAAAGAAGGAGAAAGAATGTGATATTGGTGATAACAGAGAGGCAATGAATGGATTATTGCTGATTAACTAAATGAATAATTAATTGATTAAATAAATAAGTAGTGCTTTTCCAAATAAACCTTTCGGAATTTGCTAATGTACTTAATGTTTCATGAACCAGATCGTAGGTATTTATTTTCAGGTATTGTCACCATGATAATGGTTTTAATCGCGATTGGTCTGCCGTCAAACTTGTTTATTTTGATATTCCCAGTTGATTTCTTTCTGGATCGTATCAGGACTACAGTCAACGTCTATGGTGATAGCATTGGTGCAGCGATTGTTGGTAAAATGTGCGAAAGGTTTTTACCAAGCAATACGATTGAAGCAACGGAAACCGGCTATCATGTGCTAACACAAACTGCATCACCAGATCCATCTGCGAAAAGGCATAATTGCTACGAGAATCATCAACTATAATCAGCATGATAAGGATAGCGCTGATTGATAGACGCATTACTAAGTCACTGTTATCAAACTGCTGATGGATATCCTTCATCTCGACGCCACTTGAGCTGGGCCTGGAAAGGCCGCATGATAAACCAATTATCAGATCGTTGATAATGGATAGGAGTAAAATTCTTGAATGAGATGATTTTATAACTCTAGTGAACATATGATATTCGTCAGTGGATGCTGTTGGTGCTAGTGCAGGACGTTCAGCTTTTATATGCATGCATTCATCTCAGGATCACACTTCATCGAAACACTGTCACATAGATTCGTCGCTTTATCTCCATCTGAACACTGTTCACTAGCAACAAAAGAATGTACGATTTTTTATTCTTAAGAGCAATTACTTTATTGTGAGGAAAACGAAGAAGATTGAATGTAGAATGAATGGTAGATAAACACACTCAGTGACGATTAATCTTATTTCAACCCAAATAACAACTTTATTACTCAATTGTTCAATTTTGAATTCGAATGTAAATGTCAATTTTGATGATAATGAACACCTCCACAAGCGCCTACCATCTAAGAGCTGCTAATATATCAGCGGTACTTCCGATGATTTGACTACTTTTCAATAAGCAGCATCTGAGCAGTTAAAAATTGTTGATCGATAGCAGTTATGAGCCATCCATTATGTAGTATTTTATTTGTATGTGTATGATGTTCATTTTCTTATTCATTCTTATTTGCTTATTTACGTATTTATTCATTGCGTTATTGATTTGATGGTTTGTGTTTTCTATTTTTGTAGTATTCACATGTCATTTCTTCAGCTCATACCAGAATGGCATTCATTATCAACTCAATATCGTTGTTGTTGTTTCTTATTGATGCATTGTTCTGCTGAGTGATATTCTATACATGCAACTGTTAAATCGTAATTTTAGAACGCTAATAATGTTGTTACTGCTGTCGTTCTGCTTATCGATTATGACATTGATGATGTGACAAAGAACAAGAACAAGAAGATAGATGTGGGAAAGGAAAATTCAGCAGTGTTTAGTAACCCGAAAAAGCAATGAATAATCTTTTTAAAAATACCATCAGCAAAAAAATTCTTCAACCAGACGACCCATGGCGCGACATGAATGGAACAGTGATCAGGAGCAGTAGCAGCTAAAAAGGCAGCACTTAGGAACGCCACGGGATTTGATTTTCTGCAATTATCTATTCAAGTTGTGTTTATCAAAAATTGATAAGTTTCATAGGAGACACATTCACTCGAATTATGGCGTGGCAGTGTTTCTGTTGTTGTTAAGTTCAGTTTATTAGTTAGCTGTTAGTAGCGTATTAAGAAGGTGACAATCGCTATAGATTAGCATTTTCAGGAATAGAATTTGAAAAAACGGATGGAATAATATATTTGAAGAAAATGCTCGTTTATTTCACAATCTTTGAATTGGTTGTTCCCATATTAATCACTTGTTTGTTTGTTTGTCTGTTCATTTATAAGAATATTTTTCGAAACGACGATTTTGTTTTGTTTCAAATGTTGAGTGGAATGATTTATATTCATCGCCGTTGTGGTGAGCAAGAGCTCATCATGCATGCTGAAAAGCGTTTAAATGGACAGATTCTCTACCGAAATCAGATTATCTTTCGACAATTTGTTAAGAGCAATTGTCAGTAACAATTTGATTCGAATTGGAATGATTGATAGCACTGTTAGCAACAGTGTTCTTTACTAATTGATTTCTATTTTTTAAGATCTTTTCAATTGTACTGTGCAAAATGACGATAGCGGTTATGCATAATGATTGACAGAGTGCAAGTGAGTGTATTTTATCATTGTGCATGATGCTAACTGAACTCGATTCACCTTCCTTGGTCGTTCGATTAGTTGTTGCAACGTCTGCCCAGCCCATCGGTAGTTTGATAATTCAGTTACTTATTATCTAAACTTGTGCGATTTCTGATGAAGGGGGAAGGATCTTTTTCCAGATGGGACAGCTTGATCGAGGGATACTAAACAATCGAAACAAATTCGATGATCCTCACAATTGATCAGTATGCTAGGCGCAGTCATGTATATGGCATCATGTCCACTCTCTGATATCGAATCGTATTCAGTGATCAGCAATTGTGGATAAATGGATTGTTTCTAGTTTTTCGTAGACTCTAATGTTTCAATATGTCGTTCTTGAAACAAAAATACGATGGCGCGCAAAGGAGTTAAATAAGAATGCGACTTATCTTATGAGGATGTAATAATTTATCGAGCACTTTTTATATTATTTGTTTTATTACTGTTCTCATAGTGATTGAATAAAAGTAAACGAAGTATAATTTTTCGAAGTTTATTGATTCGTTTGTTCGTTCTCGAACGTTTATGAGTTTTGCTGTTCTCTGTTCAACAGGAAGAACAGATTGTTCAGACGACTGTCATCTCATCATATATGAACTTTGCTCACCAACAATGTATGAGGCGATACCGACGATAACTAAGAACGATGCTATCAACAACGATACGCATCTGGAACAACGAAAACGACAGGATGCTTCAGGAGATATGACTTCTTTCTCATCTCCAGCAGCATCCTCACCGACACCTCATCAACAAAGAACGTATGCGATCGGTTCAAGAGGACAACCGTTATCAGCTGACAGTCCCTTTAATGCTCTCACCAGCGGTATCAATACCAACAGCAACAGCTACCAACCAATAGCTAGCACGCAACAACTTCTCGAGAAAGTTTATCGATTATGTGAAGAGAATTTATCAGCATACAATCCTAATATTGTGTATGTTGCATTGATCATTCAATTCTGAATGATGCTAATCTCACGCTTTTGCATTCCCTCATTCCAGTATTCTTTGTACAGAAATGCTGACCATTGCTCACATAACAACAGCAACCGACAGTCAACGAAATGAAACAGTTCGGTATTGTCGCCGAAGAATGATTTACTCACCTAAACAGACAAATTCTCCTCGAAGCTTCGACCGATTACGATCGATTATTGGAAGAGAGAGCAGAGCGTTATATCTGTATATCCATGACAAATTTCTTTCATTGTGTTAGCTGGATGAAGTTGTAACTGTTGTTTGAAAGATGAAAAAATCATGCAAAATTCAACTTGATGCGAAATTGACAAAAAAACTTTCAATGCAATTTCTGATATAAAATAGAATTGGCGACACAGAACAGTGAGGAGTAGCCAATTCATATTACGCCAATATTTTCTTCTGAAATGAATAAAGCTCTAAAAAAAGCATTTCGCTCTCACGTTTCATCATTCATTCTCCATAAGTGAAAGTTTCATATGAATGCTCTTCAGGTGTACGGCTAGATCGAATCCCTATTATGGTGCTTTATTTGAATTACTTTGCGAAAAGAAGAAGCAAATGTGTAAGCTAAGCAAATGTTCATTTTTCTTACGAATTTATCCATAACTTCCTGAACGATGAGCATTGGTCATCACAAGTGCACAATTTTTGAGACTGAATTTTATAACAAAAACGTTCTCTTCACTAAAATCGTTATTCTCGTTTTTGTCACTTTTTAAGCTTTGCTTACCGACGAACGATACAGTAGAATCGAGGAACAACAACGATACTGTATGGCGAGGATCGATAAAATGTTGGTGAGCATTCCATATTTACCAGGCCAGTCAAAAAAAATTTGATATTCACATACGCTTATAAACTTTGCATTTTTCAAACTGATGTATTCAAAGATTACTGTACTTTTGTAACTAACCAGTGAACATTCGCACAATACGCGCTTTCAATTGGGATTACCGTTGAGGGTACCAACTCATACTGGCGCGGTTCACAAAGAAGACAGATAGGTGAATCGAATTGATCGGTATCGCAGAGCAGTTCATTACAGTAGGTGCTGTAGTTTGATTGGCTGATAGCACCTACACCCGTCTAAAGCAGCCTCTTTCTCTCTCTTAGCTCTATGTGTTGTTCACAGGAAAAATGTATGATGGTTGGTCACAAACAACAATATCAGCACCAACAAATGATAACAACTGATGATAATGAGGACGAATATGATGAGAATGAAGATGATAATGACGACAATTATAAAGAGAAAGATGATCATGGTGACATGAGAATAGAAAGAAAGTGTGAGAAGTTATTAGCTGAATATCGTTCCGATTTCTACCATTTCAATCAGCGACTCGAAGAGGTGTTTTTTGTTCACTACGATTATTCTAAGCCACAAGAAATGCGGCTTTTTAAAGTGTGCCGCAATATTCCATGACTATTATTTCGGTCGATTTCGGTGCATCAGCTAGCAGAATTCATTGGTTTCCAAATGTGCAAACCTTTCGCAATTATTAGGTGAAATACGGCTATTTCGCTGTTATTCAGCTCTCTAATCATCGTTTAATTTTTCAGAAATCCATGGAACTGAGTTATCGGTTACGCAAAATTCTACAGCATCAACGATGTTTTCGACCGATCACAGAAGCGGATATTGAAAAATGTCTGAAACAAATAGATTCAAAATTGAGTACAACGAGGGATCAACTCAAACAAATCACATGTCAGAATGTTATGATGTTGCGCTGCAGGTATCTTGACTTGAGGTATCTATTTTGCTGTACTATTTTCATTCCGTTTTGACTAGTTATTCGCTCATTTCTTGACTGTGACTGCCATCATCATTACAGTATCCGTACGAAAAATGGACGCGTGGCTTTAAGCGCGCGCGTGTGGTAGAATGCGTGATTAAAAAACGTGTTTGAGTGTGTTCGTATGTGAGCCAAGACTCTGTACAGGGATATCCTTCCCAACATCATGGCCCAAATTAAAGTCCGAATCAGGTATAGTCTAGTCGGGGCCATGATGAACATGACGAGCACCTGAAAGTGTCCGAAGTAACGTTGCCAATTGTCGTAAGGTATCTCATCGGACTACCCAAGTTTCCACTCACCGGTTGCCTCAAGGTTTCAAGGCTTAGGCGTTGTGAAAATTCTCATCGATTTTGAATGAAAATAAACCAACTGTTGTGTTTTCGGTGGAAGGGTGTCAAACAGTTGGATGAACAGGTACATCAACGACGAGAACGCTAGGGATGGAATGGAGAGCTTTTCCGACGTGGAATGGAGACTGTGGCCAAGCATAGCGAAATATGTGTCCAATGAAATGATTATAAAATTACAAATCGATTATAAAATACTGTTATTGCGATAATTTTTGAGAAAAATATTTTCTAAAAACTGTAAATTTTTCTATTTTAGAGAACGTTAATTTTCCTCACGCATCCTATGTAGCGTTGTTCTCATGAGCATGTCCAATTTATCTCTAGTAGCAGTATTTTCCTTCGTTATCGTCGTTACTAATGTTATCATTATGATCACTAATGTTTTCGTCATCAATATTATTATATCATCATTGCTATTATGATGATTACTTTAACTGTTTGAGGAGGAAGCGACGAAACTTTGGCAAGGACGCGACTCGTATTCTCAATAATTTCTTCTACTCTCATTTAGAAAATCCATATCCTAGCGAGGAGATAAAGGCTTCCCTTGCGAGCAAATGCAATCTTACCATGAATCAAGCAAGTCCTTTTCTGGCCTTTAATGATAATAATAGGTATTAGGTATTATTTGTTTTATTCATACAATGAAGGCAACAAATGTTGCAATATTTCTTAAGCAATCACCAGTCGATTCCATGGTTACCAACATTTCGTTTCAAAGATTGAATTATCATCCCACAGTGACAACAAATATCACAATCAACAATTACCGATTTGTTCAGGTTTCGAACTGGTTTGGTAACAAGCGAATACGCTTCAAGAAAGCTCAGCCGCATCCTTGCACCATTGCTAAATCATCACGTTGCTTGCCGGCTCAATACCAAAAACAACGCAAAATGAATCCATTCCCTCGTATGTTTTCGCAAATGTACAATGAATGAATGTGAAATGTCGTATAATCGAGCGTTTCTTAGACTGTGGGTTAAGTCCCTTCCTCTCGATTTAAAAAATACAGTTGTAGAGTCAGGTTGCGGGATCACCAAAATTCTCAAAATAATGAAATTTCGTGTGTATAGTATAGTTAGGGTGGTGCATATAGAACTGGAAGTCTTGAGTGTAATAAGAAGTTTTTGAAACGTTGATATCACCGACTGATATTAATTAGCAGTGATAACGCAACAAATCTGAAGTAATTGTTCAGTTCGCTTTCATACGAACACTCTTCGATTCATGCAAATTAAATAATGAAACGTGCGTCGGTTATAGTCCTTACGGAAAGATTTGTGCCGGCGGCATCTAATGTAGAATTCGGAGTTGAAACTTTATGTTGAGCATTCAATTTGACTGCTGCGCTTACAAACAATTGTGAGGCAGAAAGTATGCTCAAAAACATATTATAAAAAACGAATGCGATGCATCATTAATGAACAATATGTGGAATTTTTTTAGACTATTTGATTTGATTTTAGATCACGATTTGTTTTTGCGCAATAACGAAGATATAACTGCTGCCGCAGCAACTGCTACTGGTGTAAATGGAGATAATGACGGGCGATTAGCAATAATAAGACAACAAGTAGGATATCAGTTGGATTCTTCATTACAAGCTTCGACAAGCAATCAAAACGGAACAAGAACTGAAACAACGGCAAATCACCACTGCATCGATAGCGGGCATGCTGAGACGCGAAATTCGACGACAATGAATAGTGGTGTTGGCTTTGAAGGAGATGATCGTGCTAAACTGTTTGCAAATGAGCAAGTAAATGAACGTTGACTGATGTCATATAATCTTACTTTTTTCTTCAAATACTCACTGCTATCAGTTTTTATTCAACACATTTACATCTATGACATACTCTACTGTTGTTCATCTAATCATTTCCGATCAACATGTCTCACTCGGAATTTCCCACAGATGGAAATTCCAGAAACTGAAACGTTCATCTATTTTGCATTGATTACGACTGAATGAATGCCTGGAACCACTGCCCATTGCGATGAACATTTTAAAAAACAATCCAATCTAATGATTAATCTATCTGTTTTTCAGCAATACTATTTCGACCAAGCGCCTGAATTTGATCCGGCAAATCTGATCGACGAGATTGGCGAGGTAAATAGGAGGATTTTAGGCATAATTTGCAAAAAGCCTGAGGTTGCTGAAAATTTTTTTTCTTAACCTCTGACTGTCAAATTTGACAGAAGATTTGCGAAATCTTTGTTTAATTAGTTCAGGACTTTTTTTCAGTTTGTGATCGGTAATCAGTGTGCACTATTTTCAAAGAATAACTCTCGTTTATTGCAGATAAGCTCTGCTTACATGTGCTACTAACAAATTATCGAAGTGAAAAAGATTATATGCCTCAACATTCAGTTAAAAAGGAACTGGGCAACTGAAATACATTCTGCAGATATTTGTTTCTATCGAGCATTCTGCTCACCTCATCTTTTTGAAATATCACTGATATCATGCCTTACGAATGAATCAACAAATCGAAAATTTTCATAAAAAGCATTCTCATCGTTCATCTCGTCGTTTATATCCGAAATGTATATCATTTTTTTCATCGTCATTTCCTAATGAATGGTCGCAACGTCCTGACATAAACTAATTGCACTCGTTTTTGGCGACAAAATATTTGTCCACTGGAGCGACTTTTCGTTATTATTTTTATTGTAATTATTATTATTATTATCACTATTGCTACTGCTGCTATCATCACTGATGTCATTGTTCTGCGAGTTAATGTAAACATTTTAACGCTTTTATTCAAATTTTGAATGAAGTTATGCATAGAAAGAAAGAAGTGTTGAAAGGAAAAACTCGTTGATTAAACTTTGAAAGAAAAATTTAATTGAACTTCGAAAGATGAGTTGTAAACAGAAGCAAAAATTCACTGATATTGATCATTCCGATGTTTCTTAATGAGAGTGAAAATACAGAAATTAAAGCGGCACTTTTAAAGACAGACGACACCATGTCGATATGGTAAGAAAAGAGCGCATGAAACCTACATCTCTTCACTGCTGCTTCTTAGCCTTAAAAAACTTATGAGACAAGGACGGTACCTTTTACGGTAATTCGTCGACGCAAGGCACATTTAATCAAACAGACATGTAGAGCATCATTCATCATTATCTGACTTATGTGATTGCTTGAGCAAATGCATTGATGAGTTCGAATGAATGAAGAATCTTTTGATGTTGATGATACGCTGGGTGCTGGCTGGTTGGCTGATACGTGCGTACAAAGGATTAGTGAAAAAAGCGAAGAGCAGTGCAGCTGATCATACAGTTTAAAGGTCAGCAATTAGATGGTGACCGTTAACGACGACGGTGGTGGCAGCCATGAGGATGACGATGAAACAGATAAATCACTCGAAGAAAAATGAAAGATTGCAGAGACAATTTTGAAACAATCAAAACCGTATGATTTGAAACACTCAATGAATAGGAACGCTGATACAGTGGATACAAATAAAGTTTTAAAAAAGCAGCGAATAAAATATATATTATATACATATATATTTATGCATGGATAGATGGACGGATAAATGTGTTATCGTTAAAAGCTAATTGAAATTGAATTTTTCATCAAGTAGCACCCGCTGCTATTGATAAAAAACTGATATTGATAATGAAGCGGCGTTCGTGCTTTGTTTTGCTATTTTGTTGTAAATTAGTTCAACTTAAATCGAATCCACGACAATGATATGAAAAAAAAATCAACGGCTCCTTGTTTCGCAGTCAACCACTAGACACCATCCGACGAGATGAATTCTTCAAATTCGTAGTGTTGTAAGAAATGTGGCCAGTCGACATCTTTCGATCTGAATGAAAATGCACATCTTTGTAGTTTGTAAATTTCCAAAATAAAAATATCAACGAGCTTTCTGCGCAAAACGCACTTTGATTCCAAATCAAAAGGAATAGCCAGTTGAGTCGAAAACAATTTGTAACTTTTTCAGCTCATCTACATTGTTGAGACTGCAACAAAGGGAAGGGGAGATGTGATGATTTGACAATGAAGTGCAAATGCATCCTGGAGAAGTGTTAGAAATTTTTGCATGTTATTTGGAAAAATAAGAAAATGATGAAAACAAAAACCAATTGAAAAACCGAATGTTAAGTTGTGAAGAAAGTGAACGAATGAGATAAAGATTGAACAGGGAAAATAACTTACATGTCCAGCTTCGAAACTGTACTAGCTGTACAATACGATTCGGTTTTGTAGTGACAAGTTTTGTGACAGACTAAACGACAATCTGAAACCAAAAAGCTTAATGTACCTCTGCATTGATAGGCTTGCTTCGCAAAACATTAGAACATAAAAGCGCCACATCTGAGAACGTCACTACTCAATAAGCCATCCTTAGTCAATGCTCAAGTTAAAATCTGGTCAATATTCAGTCAACCTGAATTTAATTACAATCATATGGTAAGCAAAGACAGAGCCCAAGAGGGACGGATTGCTTCGGGGTTGTGGCTTAGGTAGCAGCATTTTTAAGTTGACGCGAATTTAGATGGATGACTTTGCAAACGATTATCACTCCACACGTTAACGAGAAGATTGATCAAATTGCTTCAGTTTTTCTTCAGTCATAATCATTCACAGCTTTCTCATATAATGATGATGTTCTTCCATTTATTGGTGACGAAAACAGTATGAAGCAACTGAAGTGCAACTACAGTACCTCTGCATTGATAGGCTTGCTTCGCAAAACTTCTCGCAATCCTGTGATGACACACGTTACATGTAGTACCACTGAAAATTACTGGTAAAAAGTAATGAAGCAACTGAAAACTATCCTCGCAACTCGATGATTATAGCAATTCGAATGATTTGAGTGTTTCAATGCACATACTATTAATATAAGCAGCCATGAATTCAGTGGTATACGACAGAGCAATTTGACAACCAACCCGCGAAGTTTTACGGCGACAAAAATGTGATCGTTGTAAATGTGCAACTTTTTACCATGTTTCATCAATCGAGCCGCAGCTGGTTCATCAACAATTGATGGAGGAATCAAATAATATCTGAAATTTGACCAATGAAGCTAGTTATCTTGTGTGCACATATTCGTATAGAGGAAGGGCATTACTACTAGACAGGAGGTGACCGCATAGCATAATGGAAATGATGAATTGAAACACTGACCGCTTTTTGCCATCCTTAGTTGTTTCTAAAACCAATGTGCTGTGCTGATATAAACTTTTTGATGAGATGCCAGATTTTTCGCCAACAGATGACGTTTCGTGATGACTTCGACTGATGTGTTTCTCTTTAAAAAAATATAGAAATTGGCTCCAGTTTGCTATTGAATAAGGGTTCGGATAATGTTGCTATTAGTAAGATGTTAATAGCTACTCTGATACAATTAGCAATTTAATTACCATCATTATTGTTACTCAATGAACTTAATTCAATCATTCAGAATTAGCACACCGTCTTTGTTTCTGGTTCTTGACTGATCTCTGGATGGTGGCAATGAGACTGCTTCTTCAAGTTCTTCATTTCCTAGATCGAAACTTTTGGCTCGTCGTTTCGACCGGCGTCGTCCACTTAAGCGATCGCGCAATTCACCGAAGAAAGATCGTTCTCTTTTTTCAGATGTTACTTCACCTTCGACTGTTGGTTTCTTGAAACGATCTGAAAATTTTACCATGACAGATCGAGTCTTGATCAGAAATTTGCAGCTGATAAATAATTCTTCCTGCACAGTGCACTGGATTTATTTTGAAACACGGCATTGCAATTAATCGGAGCACTTGAAAACTGGCTTCGAGTAGCTAACGAGCGAGTAATTCGGGAAATAGTTGCTTGAAGTGAGGAATCTGAATGCAGCGATCACATAATAATGCCGCATTGTTCGAATGAACGCTTCAAAATGTTGAAATGTGGTCAATAATGACACATTGTGTCTACAAACCGCGTGAAATTCGTGTTGGATCGTCGGTCGGCGTTAAAGGAGTCGACTGCTGTTGTGATGTTGTGTTCACTTTATTTGCAAGTACGGCTCGTTGTTCTTGATATGTTGGACTAGGATAATGAGCTTGAGTCTGTACTTTGCCTTGTTCGTTGGCTATTGATGAGTCTTTTGGATGATGACTGATTTGGATTAATTGAGCTGTCTTACCAGGTTGGGGTTGTTGCTGAGACTGGAATCTGCTTTAATTTTTGACTTACAATAAAACTACATCTGGTGCTTGAGGCACTGATCAAAATCAAACCATTAAAATGGGCGCAATGGATCGATTAATAAAATGCTGAATAAGAAAACAGATTACTCGAATTGTTTGCTGTGGTACTTGATATGTGGGTGAATGTTGCTGAGTTGCTGTAATTGTTGTGGTTGTTTGAGATGCTGGTGCTGGTACTGATGACATGCTGTTAACCGCTGTCTGTTTTAATGAAGTTGTCGCTGTTGTTGTTGCCGTTTGATTTCCAGCAAGACCTGTTGATCCATCGTACCTTCGATTAACAAAACGATTAAGAACTAACTCATATTCGCTTTCCATTTCATTTTCAGTCACTAACTGAAGGCAAAGGGAGGGAGCACAAATGGAATTGATGCTGAAATCGGCATTTTAAAAATTTCCTCAAGTTAGCAAATCTTCATCGATTAGATAGCAACCGCAAAGGCATCGGATATGATTCTATAAGCATCTGTTATGACACTGATTTACTTCTATCTATCCTAACTTCATTTATTAGGCAACTCATATTTTCTGACAGCCAATAACCTGCAACATTTCATGAATTAACTTGCTAGTGAAAGCTAATATTGAGTGTACTGCTACCTTTGGCTGTCGTATCCCTCATCAGTGTGTGCTCTTTGGAAGGTCGGTTCAAGCGTTCGTGGTGTCACTGGATCCATAGGACTTTCCATTGAGCTGTGGACTGACGATATCAGTGGCTTATCTTTGAGTTGCTGAAATTGCTGAATAAAACAAAGAAACGATGACTGAATACTGAAAGGACATAACAGTTATGTTGAAGTTGAGCACCACTTGAGAAGATGATCTCGAGTAAGTGATTTGTAATTGTGCACATGCAAATAATGGATCACTGGATTACGCACGTATCATTGTGATAACATACTTGTGAGACGCCTTTGACGGTTACTGTAGTCGTTTTCGTTGGTATTAAATCACGCCCTTCAAGACTGTCTGAAGTGTTGCTTTTAAAATTTCGATTTGAAAAAAAGTTGAATTTGTTAAAAAAAATCATTTCTTTGAGAAATTTCTCAAAGCGATCACTCTCCATGATGTTTTTGGTGTTCATTCAATGCAAATGCAACAGTGATCATAATAGTAAGGTAAATTACCATGTGGATCATAAATTGGTCGTCTGCTGGTCATTAAAGTTTCACGGAATTCGCTACCGTCATTACCGTGAACAATCACTTGATCAACCTGTTGTCCCATAATGCTCACATTTGGATCATGATAGAAGTCGAACTGCAATCAAATATCAAAATTTCAAATCATTACAATGATATTCATTCAAGGAATGACGCCTCTAACGATGCATCATATTAATACTTCGTGTAAAGTCTAATTTCCGGGAAAACAGTAGTTATAATAAAAATGACAGAATTCATGATGCAAAAAAGAATGAGATTAAGAGCGACAGCATTAATAGAAACGATATTGATGTTTTACTGAAAATGATGTATAATTCAGCCTGTACTTCAAAATCGCTTATTGTTTTGATCTTAAAAAGTTTTGTTATGTGTTAACGAATACCAAACGAGATTACGAGAGAACGGAATAAAAAATGAATGTAAAAATCGATGACTTCCTCAATTGCACCTGAACTGTGAGTGTTCCAGAAACGCTGTCGTTACGATACGGTCTTCCCTGTAATGTGAACGAATGAACGCTTTCACCAGAACGTCGTATTTCTTCAAAGCCAACAATTGCGAGGCCAAGAAATCGTGGTTCCGCATCGTGTGTGGCCTTTTCACCTTCGTATATTTCGAACAAAATCTCTTCGGAAGCAGGTGTAAAATCACTGTAGGAGACGACAATTAGCAACGCTAAGCGATGTTTTATTTATCAAGAAATTGTTACAACAAACAACCAGACAGCCTTCCATCTCCTCTTCTATACTTTTTAAGCATTTCAACCACAAGTTCAGTGCATCATTAAAACCAAACAATTCATTCATTTTAATGGTCTCGTGGTGGGTGGCTGCACGGATGGGTCGCTGCTAAGTTCTCGCTTATTAACATTCGCACATCTTCGAAGTCAACGAAAGTAAGGTTCGACAGAGAGAAATCATCAACAATGCAATAACTTTGTGCTTTCAATTTGTTTGTTCCTCAAAGTTGAAAAAAATTGATCAAATGAATTTTTTGATGAGCAAAGAATTGATTCGTTCATCAACGAAGAGATGAATGTCTAACACTATTAGTGAAAATAACAGTGCCATGATATCAACAGTAATGAATCTTATTTGTATTTGTTCTGGTGTTACTGTAATACGAGCGTATTTTCATTGAGTTTTCAATAGAGGAGATGAAGAAGATGATGCTTACAAATCAAACGTTTCTTCCCAGTACGGACTCATATTAAGTCCCTTCGTGGTAGTGTATTTTTGGGCTGGTTCATCCATTTCAACGACAACATACGGCTGATTTACATCTGTAAAATTTTGAAGTGCAAATATTGATATGAAATAAATATCCAGATGAGAAGATAAGAAGACAAATTTCAGCACTGATAATCTGAACTGCTCTCTATGGATGCAATTAGAATGAAACAACAACAGCAATTCCCAAAAATTACAGCGTATTGATTCGTTTATCTCGAATAAATTTTTTTGCCGAGTACTACCGATTTCTATTTAATTACTACCGATTTCTTTGCCGAGTCGTTGAGCACGGACAACTTTTACACGAACTTTATTCGGTTGAGCACTGCTAAATTGATTGCTTATATTGGCTGTCGGTAAGGTCATCTGAAGCACTAATGGATTAGTTCAGGAAGAAATTATGAATTCATTAGAAGGGAATACTTTCCCCTCCTTCTCCTCCACCTCTCTTCTTTATTCAGTCCAACCTGCTGACGTGACCCAGCCATTTTTTCGCTTTCTAAGAAACGAAAACTGGCACTTACTAACTTGTGATCGTTCAATGAACGAATCAGTGCAGAGGTTTTTTATAATATATAAATGAATAGGAGTCAGTAATGGGTCGTAATGATGCCCGCTCGAAAGTGGTGTACTGAATTTCACACGAAGAAAATTCTCTCGAAGCTTTTATGGAATGTTGTATAAAAACACTTAAGACAATCAAGTGTACCCAACTATTAGCTAAAAGAAACTGATAGTTCAAACGGATGAATAAGGGCGAGCGGAAAGCGAAGGAAGGGGGAGTAAGTGAAAAAGAGGCAAGTAAATGGTTGATACGTGCTGCGATTGACTGAGTCGTTTTATCATTTCTTGTACGGGAGCAACAATTTGACTTGTTGGTGTCGTTACGATTGGTGAACGTTCAGCGGACTGTTGACGATAATTGCGCGTCATCAGAGGAGTGATCGGTGATGTTGGAGTTGATGTGGTGGTTGTGTTCAGTGGACTTAATGCATCTGATAATGAAACATTTGTGACAGCTGATACAAGACAACGACGAATTGCAGCTTCCACAATTGTACTGTTCACTTCACCAACCTAAAAACATCGACGATAAACTAATAGATAGCTTCTTAAAAAGCACATCAGTAAAACTAGTGTATTTAATTAGTTGCCAATTTCCGACACTCGCGCCTAAGTTCTCGCAATATCGCTGAGAACGTTCCCGGTAGCGACGCTGCGGAATTTAACTGACTATGGTCTTATGCAAGTGTCTGAGGTTAATTTTAGACCTATGCAACTCTTTGAATATGGTCTCAGCAAATCACCATTGAACACAATCTTGTTCTTATAATCAATTAAAAATGGACTAACTATTTATTGAAATTATACAAATCAATATTTTTAATTCGATTACTAACTACGCTTGAGTCGGTGTTTGTTAACTGAATTTCCAGTTCAGGTCTTCCACTGAAACATGCCATCACGTAGATTTGATTCGCTATACACGCCAAACGTGCTTCAATCTACAAGTCGAACGAATGTGTCTAATTAGAGTACATTTTACTTGAAATGACTGTGCACACTGATGCATTAGGGTGACAATTTTTTGCGAATATCGAAATTTCTAAGATCCCGACGCAATGTGCCATCTGATCTAGAAGTTATCCATGCGAAATTCTGCATCCAAAGAATTGGTTTGCAAGATAGCTGCATAATCTAGTTTTTCGTCCAAGGCGCCAGCTTTCGCAATTTTCGGATTTCGGAATTTCCAAGGGCTCGCTTCTGAAAAAATCCCTTCCAATTTGAAAGGTCGCTGCGTCAAATTGTACATTTTTTAACCTACGACAACTAATGGACAGTGTCTTTCAATACATTTTTTTGCAATGAACTTTACATGGGTTGTTCCGATTCCAAAAAAAACACGATTTTGGAAGATGAAACCAATAAAATTCCGAAATTGGAAATTACTGCGTTAATGCGCTTGAGACGAATGAAAATTTGACCCAGCCGAGTTTTACATCAATTCTTTTTCAGCAAAATTACATAAATTGTTATTAGACGAAAAGGCATCTTTTCCTAAGCTGGGAATTACACTTTTCAGAATCCAAAAATTTGTCACCTTAACGTGTATGTATACCAAATCAAAGAATCAGTTATTTACGTTGTCAGTAATCTTTAATATTATGTCATAAGCCAAATACACTCATTTCACGTAATCAATTCAACGAAAAATGATACAATCATAACACAATTCATCAATCCACATATGTATGCTTACTTCTCCGTGGAGATCGCGTATTTTTGCATCAAAATTGCTTACTATCAAACGATCCTCAACTCGTTGTGAACTGACCAATTTTAAATTCACTTCCGGAACATCTATAGTACTTTTCATTGTCTGAAAGCGCGGAACTTCAATAATGCTGAACAACGTCAGAAAAGAAGTTGGAATGAAATGATAAGAAATACCGCATCATATCTATTTGTAAGTAAATTTTCGTTTTTTTTTCGTTTTCATGAAGTGCATCACTTCATCAAAAATTATTGACGTATGCATAAATTGTAGCCTGGCTTCTTTGATCTACTTACGTATCAGCTCATTTTCGAAACCAAAAGAAATAAGGAAAGAAGGATAACAATCCGTTCCAGTGCGATTGATTTATAAGTAATTGACGCGGTACAGTGCGATCGATGCAATTTATATGGAGAAAAGAAGGACGAAGAAATAAGCCAACCGGCTTACAAGATGATCTTTTGGACCCTGTTCCGTGTGAATATTTGAAACTTTTGGTGGTATTCTCACATTGGAATTGTCCGCAAAGCCTTCGAAAAGTATTTCACAAGTCGACTGAAACGATATTGCAGCATTAAACGATTTAAGTGAAGGCAACCATTTCAGTGGACCATTGTTTGAATGAAAATTGATGAAGCATTAACAAACAGTTAACAGATTTCATTTACTCGTCCAAAGAAAATTACGCTCTTCATTTGAAACGTACCGGAGAAGAGACTTTCTTAGCAGCCTCATTTAACGAGCTTATCCAAGCTTCAAGCGGTTCTGGTACACGACGTAAGTTATTAAAAAGCCATCTTAATAAATCGTTTGTCCACTCGCTCGTTTGTGACCTGTGTGTATTTGGTATATGCGTAGTCTTGAGATATTTTTTTTATTTGTCCTATGATTATTACTATCAATTCATATTATGTAATCTGAAGCAGTACATTATAAGCATGTGAGCGTGATACTCTCTACCGACCTTTAATATATGAAACAAATTCACGTTAAACATGCAGAAAAATGAACTGCATCCACGTTTGAGGCTAACATTTGAGAATGAAACTAACCGGGATGCGCTAGTGCTATAAGCGGATGATTCTGTGCTGAGCGAAACACCATTTTCGGGTTGTGGTGTACCGAGTTTGTTTAAAGCGAAATAGCAAAGTGCGCCAACGACAACCCACGAGATAATCAACCATGAGAAGCCATCCATTACGACGGTGGTTCGCAAATCGAAGAAGCGCGCTCCTAAAAATAGCAACAATAAACTTTTTAATGTTTCAGCAGCATTTTCTGATGCGTTTCAAGAGAAAGGAATTTACTTTGGAACTAATCAATTGGTTGAACGATCGCTGTTCCAGTGGGAATTGATCGAATCTAAGTTGTGGTAGTGTTGATAAGTCTTACGTGTTCTCACGATATATAATCAATCATAATTGAATAGTGATAATCTCGTTTGTCAGTAATTATTGGCAATGAAATTTGTGAAGAAGTAATGAAAATGTCGATAGCAACACTAACAATGCAATTGTTGTGATCATAATAATTAAAGAATGCACGCAGTTTGCAGCGAAACAAATTTCGTCCGAAAACGATTGTCTCGAGCGAACAGAATAATGAAGAAAGTTTCAAGGGAGAAAGTTTTTAATTTGGAAGTAAGAATAAGCTTAAAAACGGAATTGCTTGTAAAGCTGCTCATCAAAAAAAAAAGAACTGACAGCAATCGTCAACCTCAAGGAAAGATGACGACAATAAGATGAACTCGAAAGAGAAGGAGCAGTTTAAAAAAAGTAACAGTATGTCATTTGAAAAGGATAAGCTTGGTCAACAGTCAGGATGTGACAGATAAATGACAATTTATGAATATATCAATGGATGATCCATTGCCTCGCTTCAAAACAAAATGGATGCTCGTTGGGTGGTTGAAATGAACGTAATGGGCGGTTGCATTGTTAAGATTTGATCAAGTTTAAAAACAACATCACCACTAATAATAAAATGAATGCGTAAAGTTTCGTTCGAGATGAATGCTTAAAAAATAATGAGAATAAAAATGATAACGGTGATAGTGAAGATAGTGAAGATACCATTCATCGGTTAGCGGTTGAGGTGCTAGAGGAAGAATTATTGTGACGTGAATAAGAGACGAAAGGATTGGGATTATGGGATGGACAGATAAATGAATGGATAAGTTATCAGAAAGAAGAAATCTGGAAGAGCGTGAAGCATTGAGAAGAATAGAACGACAGATTGATTTTGAAGGTATGGATGGACTGATGCAGAAGAGAAATTGATATGAAAAGTTTGGGATTTGAAGAGTTACCCTTCATTTATGATATCTTTTCTTATCATCCATTACATTTCATACCCATACTAACCTAACCTCTCGTTTGATTCGTTGACTGGGATAGCTGCAGCTGCTAGCTAACTTCTCTTAGCTTCTTCTACTATCTAAAACGTGCGGGCGTTTAGTGTTCATGTATACAAAATGAAGTGTCAGTGATGTGCCAGTATACATTATAGTTCAATGGAATTATTTAGTTATTTTGACCATTGTTTTCATCAGTGTTATGATTATAGCTGATACTGTTGCTATTGTAGTCAGCGGGTTGATGTTTGAACTGCTTCAGCTGATCAGTCCTAAATTCAAACCTGAACTTGAGAGAACAGGGGTGATAAATTCGATGGCCCGAAAACAGTGATAATGAATGGTGACAGCCGTCTCGATAATGGTGATATGATGAAATAGGAGATAAGAACGAAACAATGAGTAACAAAGGGAAAGGAAAACGAAGGAGAAGAGAACAAACGATGAAAATTTCAGCAAATGAAGTAATGAAAAGTTGGAAGTTGTGAAGCACGGTGCAATGTGTAAGAACAGAATGGAAGTAAGAAGGAACGACTCGAACTGAAGAATTGTTTGAATAAAGTTGAGCAAGTAAATAAGATAACGAGATGACAAGAAGCAACGCAAAACGCAAGTAACGAATAATCAATATTGATAGAAATGAGTAAACTTCGTTTAAAATGAAGTCATTTTCAGTAAATATTCCGAATAATTTATTTATTGATAGTTGAAAATGAGTGCATAGGATGCCACAAACATTTCTAAATTCATATGAAGAATGCTGAGAGTTGTACAAATTGTTGGCACTAAATTAATGAGAACGATAACGAGAAATTAATCAAAATACAACTATTACAAAACTTGCAAAACAGGCGCGTTTTATTGCAAAAGTTGATCACTGTTGGTTTCGATATTTTCATAATCTATTTTTTCTCAACAAAAACAATTTTAATTATTCATTTTACTGCATTCGTTTTTCTCATTTCTTCTATTCTTATCCGAACTGTTATTCATTTACCAATTCATTCATGCATTATTATGAACGTATTATACTCGTATTATAAATCTGATCAATATTAACACTATTCATTATTATATCCAACATTGAATAGGTCAAATAACCACAACAACAACAATAGCTGCAACAAGTTGTTGTTGATATCGTTGAACAACCTTAGAGCTTTGCAGCAGAACAGAAGTGGTATTGATAATAGCGGATATTATAAATCCGCCAACCAGTTGATCGTTTAGCAGCTTGTTTTATTTTAGTTTATGTAGCTTTAGAGCACTCTAGCTCTAGTTCTAGCTCTTTTACTTGTTTAATTTTGGCTTTAATTTCACATGTTAGCTATATTACCAGTGCTAATGCTGTTGCTGCTGCTGCTGCTGCTGCTGCGCCTTATGTTAGCAGCACCTTTTCGACGTACACATTCAGCTAGTTAAAAGTTTTGTTTGACTTTGTTTCGTTCCATCTGAATTTCATTTCATTCAGATATTAAATGAATGAGGTGAAGGGAACAAAAAGAAAATAGAACAAACAGCAACGAAACAGTTCATTGTAGTGCAAATTGGTTATCGATACTAATTGACTGTTGACATTCAGTAACGAATAGTTGCATAGTCAGGTGGATTGACATCGAAAGGCAAATGAAGACGTCAGGTAAGGATGGAAGAGCTCAAGATAATAATAACTGATCGCACTGGATATAAGATGAACATTGTTGGCTACTGTTGTAGCTAGTGAACTGAGAGTTGTACGATTATTAGCGAGGGTATGTTGGAATGATGTGTTGTTGAAATAAGATTAAGTTCAGTCAGCTTAGTTCGATAAGTAGTAGAGAAGGACTAGGAATAATGAAGAGAAATAATAATCGTAAACTATCGAAAAACTCACAAACACACATTCACATACATACAAGCACAAATGAACTATCAAACGTTCAGATATGAAACGTGTTGAATAAATTCTTAGAATGAATTCAACCAAATAAAAGAAGTATGAAATTCAACAAAATAAAACGATGAAATTGCTCGAAAAAAAAATCCATCGCCTAACAAACCGAATAACAACAGTCACCTTTCAACATTTTTGCATTTCTTCGGGAACCAACCGACGAAGAAATGAGAAAATGATTTGTTGTTTGTTCTTTTTATACGATATGAAAGCGTCAAAGAAGGAAAAAGAATCAAATAAATATCAGCGAGTAAACAAGGTATAGTTAGCAAAATTGCAGCTTTTATCGGAAGGGAAAGTTCTGGGTGTGAATCTAAATGAAGAAATTAAGAAAATAACTCTAAATTAAGAAAGAGGCATAAATTAAGTTATCATCATCAATTTAGAGTTATTTTCTTAATAATCGGGAGATTATTAAGAAAGTAACTCTAAATTGATGATGAAAACAAGAATAAGAGGAAATCCTTAAGTATAATATTACGAAAGCTTCATGAAGAAACAGTGAAGAACGGAAAACAAATGAATGATCAAGGCTGAACAATCCATTTATTTATTTATTTAATCAACAATTACAACTCATTACGAGTTTATGCCTCTCTCTTACCAACAGTATTACATTCCTTTTTCCTAGACATCCTTCGCTTCGCGTAGCTAACGATAACAGTGCCGGGAATCATCTGTCTTCATAAAGTTCTTACTCCGATTATTCATTAGGCGAGTATGCAGGTTCGGGGCCATTCTCCCACATTGCTCAGTGATTTCTAGGGAGGTGGTCTCAAAATGAGCCCGAAAATGAACTCCGATTGATCGGTTGAACATGCGTCCAATGATCGCTCAAACTAACAACCAACAGCAGTAAGACAGTAATCTTTCAGAATCAATTTTAATTCTAATAAGCAACGATTTTAATTAATATAATCGCATGGATCCACTGCGATCGGCGTATTAAACACACTGCAATCAAGCAACAATCAATTCCCGTTGCCACAAATAACTCGCATAATTAAGCATATTTATTTAATCAGCCATCCACTAACTGATCGTATCAACGATGAATTTTTTGCCGATTACTCAGAGCGATCGGCAATCCAATCTCTCAGTGTTCAAATAGCAAGTCCGAATCCCTATAAGGATTAAAGAATTAAGCAATATTCGACCTTAAAACCCACATTGAGGTCCTTTCTTGAATTCTGATTCCGTGACATCCCCAGAATGTTCCTAAACATTGTGTATTTTTTCCGCCGGATTTGGAACAATTCTCGAGAAGTAATAATATCATCCTGAAAAAATATATTTCGTTCTGAGTCCCAATCCAATTTTCTTTGAAAAATTGACCGTTGAAGAACAACAATCGTGGTATTTCGCACTTCTGGTCAACGACTACAACAGTTACGACGATATAAGCGCCATTTCATCACTCAATTGCATGATATCACCGCCTCACCTATATTTTTTGGAAGATTCAACCTCAGCGACTGATTCAACCTTCAAGTGAGCATTCGGGTAGTATCTATGATGCTGATGGTAATGATGGTAGAGACTTCATGTCAAATAGGGACTATCCTGCTGAGCTGATATGGACATCTCCTGTGAACTTTCATCACAGAAGTGATGAAAGATGACAGGAGAAGATCATATTTCTGACCACGTAGCAAAAAATCTGAAAGAATAAGGTCGAGTGTTCTTTGAATCCAACCCAATTTCATGCAACGTCATCAAATACTGGCCATGTTTAACACGGGATGAAATTGGAATAGGCAAGCTGGGTACAGGTCAAATTCTCTCCGTGCAACCGAAAACTTCTCAATAAATTGTTAAAATTCCTTTTAGCACGCATGGGAAATGAAATAAACTGAACGCGCAAGAGACCTGAACTAACTTGAACGTGACGAAATCGGGAACTTTCCTTGTCTTATCATTTTTCTGCCGGTTTGAAACAAAGTTTGGATGCTCATTCAAGAGGAATATTTATTCTGGATGAAACCAACCTTCACTCTGATGCTTTTTTAATAGCAGCTCAGGTTCAACTCACAACACAAATGCTGTGAGGGAAGCATTGATTCTTTTGATTCATGCCTTCATTCTAACCTTTTCGTTTGAAATATTCAAACCTTTCATTTCGATGATCTATTCTCATCAGTTTTTACTCTCACCACATTCCATTTCCATCATTGTAATCCAGCTTTTTTCATTGATAAAAAGCAATGAAATCTTCAAGTGTTTCTTATTTGCCTGAATTTCTAACACAAGGAGAATTATTTTTGAGGATTACATAGTCTCGGTAATAATTGAATGTATTACTGATGTTACGTTGTAATGTTGTTGTACTTGATGCTGTCTGCACTGCTGCAAATGCAGCGTTGCTGTACCAGAAGAATAAACAATTCATCAATCGTTAAAAGCTTTACGATCTGTCCAAACGATTGTAAATTTGTGACCTATCACTTTTATTCATTCAGCTTGAGAATTTAACATCATCGAAAAAAAAACGAACGTAAACGATTGTCATAAAATGTAGGGAAATGAATGGATATGCAACGTGAAAGACATATTCCAAAAGTAAGTGCTACAAGCTATTCACACTCATTGTCGTTCGGTGGTATCTGAGGACTTGAAGAAAAAAAACGGAGGTTTGAAACGGCTCGGAATGCAATGCGGACATGATAGGTGAGAATTCAGATCCTCAGAAGAGGACACCGTAAGATGTTTCAGAGTAAGAACACCATCATCAGCTGTAATATTGGTTGGGTAAGGATATTGGTGTATTATCTACGCAACATTCCGATCAATCATTCACTTGTTCTTTTCATTAATATTTACTTTTTCATTTCAGTTTATTCAGTGATGGGCAAGCTAACGAAAAAAGATAGCGCGTTAATCCATTAACCTAACAACTACATCCGTTATTCGCTGACGTTAACATCGCCAAAAAACTAGCGGAGGGCTAACGCTAGCGCTAATTTAGAACATTCTCTCAAAATTTGCAGTAGTACCATCTAATTGTAAAGGAAAAACGTAATTGCGACATTAAACAGTTAAAAATTTTAATTGAATCATTCAACAACACTCGATAATCATTAGTCATTAATAATCATCGGTCAATAAGTCAATAAGCCCCACAAAATCATCAGCCACTAATAATCATCGGTCAATAAGTCAATAAGCCCCACAAAATCATCAGCAACTAATAATGATCAGTTTGTTAATTATATCAAAATTCTCGCTCAATTCGATGTCGCAACAATGTACAGTGCTATCATCAACCACACATCCATCCAGTTAACATTTCCTCGATGTTTCTTTCTTCCTACTACTTCGCGATATCTCATTAGTTCTCTAAGATAATGACTAACTACCTGATCGCATTGCACACATCCATCATCTCCTGCATTTTAAATAATAATGCCCTTCAAATTTCTCCTATCAATGACCGATGATAAAATTTGGTAAACAATTATCAACAACAACAATAATTTGATTGAATACTCAACAGCGAACCGTTTGAGAGGGTATCAGTATGGTACTCTTGAATTTAGTGCAGTGCAAATTTGTATGTATATACCTTAATGGTGGAAGATTATGCATTCACTCGCAACGTTAGTGGATTAGCGATAACAGTCCGCTAATCCGCTAAAGTCCGCGAAAAATTAGTTCGCTAAACCGCTAACCAACGACAATAAATCCTCTAAATTCCGATAACTAGCGGGCTGATCGCTAATGCTAATTCGCTAGTAGCGGATTAGCGAATTAGCGCGTTAATGCCCATCTTTGAATTTATTGTTGTCTTATTAATGAAATGTGATAAGTGTGACAATCCTGGAATAGCTTCAAAAACTGCGAAATCACGGATTCAGAATCGGATGAAAGCGTGAAAATAAAGCACAACTAAAAATTTGGATAAGAAAATCAACGAGTTTTAAACAAAAGCAACAAAATAAGTACAATAGCAAAATGATAAAAACGTTGCCTTCCATGAAGAAGGGAGGAAAAAAGCGAAATAATGCAAATGGAATGCGATAGGATTATCAGCTAATGATAAGAGAGCAGTAAAGCGAATAACCGGGACACGCTTTATGAGAACATAACAAATATGACAAGAAAATATCAATGGAAAGCCAATGGAAGTCAACCAACAATAAGCAATACCTAGGCAATTTAGACAAGAAGATCAGAAAAAAAAGTTATGAAAATAAAATTTCGCATGCTTCATTTATTTTTAGCTACACATGAAAAAAAGTTCATTTATGCAACGTATTTCATCTAAAGAAAAAATTATTTGTCAACAGATCACTCAGTCGTATAGGAAAAATTTTTGTTACCCATAAACGAATTTTTCTCCGAAGAAAATTATTTTTGTCTGAATACGAAGTAATGTTCGTCATCCTAATAGCATTGAATTCATTCGGTTTGTTGGCCAAAACTAATGAATCCTTCAAAGTGAATGTGAGTCATTCAATGAAATATCAGAACTTCCTGATTTGTTCGTTTAGTTTTTTTGGCTAGAACCTGTTCCATGTCAATTCAATTCCACTCATATCAGCAGCTGCTATGGAAGCAAGTCATTGATCGTATGAATGTGACTACTATCTAACTAAAATTTTCGAATTCTTCAACTCTGATGATTCACCTGCTGAACTCGTTGATCAGTGCTTTCGTTTCCCGTTTGCGTTAAACATCCTTTCCATCCAATGTTTATGCGAATTCCAATTCAAAATTGACTCATCCGTATCAATACACCCATCAATTTTTTTCTATGGAGAATTAATGAGCCTGTATTATTTAAGCTTCTATCTCAGAAATATCTCCTTACGCTGATCAAGGATTTTTATTTTTGTTTCGTTCAATACGATTTATTTCAAAAGAAAAACTTCTCTTTGAATTTATTGCATCATATTCGTTCTTCTACTTAGTTCATTTACTTGTATTCGTATAAAGTGCAAATATTTCTTAAAGATTTGGATCGAAATTGAGCTGAGATTAGAGGTTTCTTTTGACAGAACATTTGATTGAAGGCATTCATGAGGGAACAAAATGTCAGTTATCTCGACATCTTAATGTTATGAGTGGAATGGATTTGATCAGGAGCAGAACGCGGCCTTCGCCATATGTCACTGTGTTCTCGTTATAGACGTAAATACCAAAAACAATCTTCGATCGGTTGTTTTCGAAGATTCATTTTTGCTCTCAATCATCTTTGTTTTATGTTCATTCAGTACATTTCCAGAAAACCTGATTGATTGATTTGTTGGTTTTGGTACAATTTCATGTAAGAGTTTAAACGAAATGAAGAGCGTATTCTTTGCATTCATATTCGTTGCTTTATCAAAGCATTTTATTAGTTCTTTTGCATTTTATTGGTATTCATATTACTGAAATCATTGTTATTACTATCGTTATAATTATTATTGTTGTTAGCATCTTTTTGAGCAAATATGTAATATGACTTAATGAAGAATAGAACAGATAATTTTCTGAAAGCACACATCAAATACACCTGAGCATCGTAAATTTGTTGGCTAATCGTGTTCATACATTTGTCTTGAACAGGGTTTCTTCCAACTTTGAATGACCTCAATAGCGCACTTTTTCTTACCTGCAGATCAAACGCTTACAATTGGCATTTGAAAATCCTTGCGTTTCTGTACAATATCCTGGAGCATGTGAAGGATTTTGGATTGAAGTTTTTCAGTGAACCGCCATGATTCGTTCTGGTAATGTTGAATTGTTCTGGTAGCACACACATATAGTACTGTCCTATTGAATACATGGAACAGTTTAATTTTAGCTCCAATCGAGGATGATCTCTTCCACTTTTGTCTTCCGTTGAAGAGTTAGATTGCGATTTGTCTATTCGAGTTTGTAAAGGATCAAATTTGATTTCGTCATCATTAATGCAAAGAAATTTTGTTCTGATCGATAGCCAAAGAAATCTTAAGTTTAAAAAATTCAAACAGATTGCTTTATTGTTGAAATCATATGCAATGAATAACAGCCATATGTAATGCTTGCATCATTATCAGCCAAATGTATCACAAGACACAATAATCTGAAACGAAAAATGGACAACAGGCCGTATGAACTGGCAAAGCCAGAGCGAAGACATACCAAAAACCAGCTCTATAACAACTGATAGTGAGAGGAAATGATGAGATATAGCCAGAGCTAAGCTAGCCTATCGAATATTCTCAGTGTGTTACTTGAACTTCTTATTGACGACGTCAACTGAAGCGAAACGTCAGCTGTTCACCATATTCTTGCTCGTCCATCCATTCATATGTTTCTCTTTCAACCATCCCATCCCAATCAGTTGATTGTTGTTCGAACTAACCGAGCACATCGAATGCGACTCAGCTAAGCTCATCATCAACACGAATCCTTGGTTGCAGCAATGTTCACCTTGGCATTTTTGTTTCATTTCAATAACAAACACCCTTCCATAATTTCCTCACTAACGTCTCATTTTGCTTGATTTCGATACTGTGCAACCATTGCTGCCGTCTGCCCTGTACTAGATCATTTCGCAACCGGCGTGATTTTCGACAAACATTTCGTAAAAATTGTATAGAGGTTAACTCTAATAAGGAATAATAAATTTCAGCAAAATGATGGTAATGAAATCGGTATTTTTATTGATCATCTTTTGCGTATATAGCAGCGTCAATGGAATAATCGCATCAGCAAATAAGCAAACAATGCTTGATGAAAATCGAACACCAAAACGGAACAATCCACTCGAAGTTCCATCCGTTAAAACAACATGTGATGAATGTAAAACAGTTAGTTTCTCCTCAATTATCATTATTATGATTATGGTTTTAAAATATTATCATTATCCTTTTTAATATGCACAACGAAATGAAACTCAGCCGATGTCGATCAATCAAACAAAGTCTCTTCGAATCAGCACTTCATTATCAACATTTTGCATTTTTGCAATTTCAGTTGATCACGAAATTCGCAGAGGCGATGAAGAATCCAAAGAAGATTGCCGAATTGAAAGCGATTCTCCGTTTCTTCTGTCACGAAACTTCATACATTGAAGAATGCAAAGAATTCGTTGATAAATTGGATTATTTCATCGCTCGTTTAGAGCCATATTTGGTGTGTTCGTTTTTACTTGTTTATGATTTATTTCATCATTTTCAATGCTTTGCGCAAAGTTTGCTATAGATTTTTTTTGCTCCTTTGGCATTGTAGGTAAAAGTTTTCGGAAAATTTTTTCTTTGCTTCAAACAGCTGACCAAAATTTCATTTGTTTTGTTTTCTTTTTCAGGAGAATCCGCAAAACGTTTGTGAGCATTTTCATATGTGCGGGAATCTAAAGATTGAGCAGTTCCATCGTGTCGGACTCATATATATAAACAGATATCCGAATAAAACTGAAGGAGCGGTATGGGACAAATATTCCACATTCGTTCATAAGGACTTTAAAATTTTTAATTAAATGGAATGATAAGAAAGCAAACTGGTCATTACAATTAACGCAATGTTTTGGAGGAACTTTTAACCGACGAGTGACAATTCAACTCGTTCTTCATATCACATGAGGGGGGGGGGGGGTTATACGCTACCTGCTAGACCATGTTGACTGCGTGTTGATCCAAAAGAATCACTGATCGAATAAACAGAATCAATTATACACTTATTTGGTGTGCAGTAACAACTTTTTTCCGTTACAAATGAATGACTTTGCACTAATTGTTCGCTACAAACTGTCAGCAGCTTATGAATTTGGTAATTTTGCATTAGTTCAGTTGGGAATTGGCCGTTCATAGTGGTATTATGACAAGTGAGAATTTTCAAAATGTTGTTCTTTTCAGAACGATCTCATTTGTGAGGAATGCGAATTCGCTGCCACTGAACTGAAAACTTTGGTTGATAAAAAGGAAACTGCGGATAAAGTGAAAAAATTCTTATCTGAAAATGTTTGCTATTATTTGAAAAAATATCAAGGATCGGTTAGTTCTTCTCTATTACTTCGGAATCTCTGAAACATATTTTAAAAAACATTTCTATATTGTTGTGATTATTTTCATTACCATTGTTACTATTGTTGTTGTTATTATTATTGTTTTTGTTACTACTACATTTGCTAGTATATGAAAGTGAATACCGTACTAATTTCAGTGTGATCTTATGCTCGATCAGTTCATACCAGAGCTTTTCGAAGAGCTCAGTAAATTGCTCAGTAATCCGAAACAGGTTAGGCATTACGCTATCTTATAAGTGTATTATTGAAGAGTATCTCTTCAATATTGGTTTGCTTTTCATTATGTTTGTTAGTCTTACCGATACTACGTAATTAATGTCAGCGTTGTTTCTGTTGGCGTTATTATTTTAATTGTGCTTTTACAGTTTTGTGCCGAAATTGGACTGTGTAAGAAAGAGCGCATTCTCATGGAGAATCGCAACGAGAAGAAGGTCAGTGTTTTTTCGGGATTCAAATTATGAACAGCACAACGGCAGTGAACTAATTTAAATCGTTTTTCATTACGCATTAAAATTTTCCCTGAACTAAAGTTATTTAATCGAATATAACTTATTCGAAGTTTGACACGATGAAATGTTAGCGTTCGTATTATTATCGTCATCAGTAACACATAATTTCACCAATTATATTTTGCTTAATGTTATGTTTCATTGGTTTATCGTTGTTATCGAATGCAACATTCATGGTGGGTGACTTATGATCGTGATAGTGATTACATTGTTATCATAGTTGTCCAATTATTGTTTTTTTATTGATGATAATATCATTTTTATTATCATTAATATTATTCTCGTTATCGTAATCATCGCTATCACTCACTGGTTATCTTACCTAAAACCATTACTCTGAATGGTACCATTTTGCTGAAAACTAACCATTTTTAGATAACCAGTCTTATCGTATCTTATATCTTTTGTGTACTGTTTTTGCGTATGTCCTCTGAGTTGGAATATGTTCATTATACGATAAAAATTTTCAAAATAGATGATCCCACAAAAGAGATGCTCTAACATAGAAAGCAAATGCTGTAATACATAGATACAGTCACAATATGGAGCAGTGAATGTTGATTTTACTAACCGTACAATTGACCGATATGATTAAAATGATAACAGTAGTAATAATAGTAATGATAATATAATAATCACAATAATAAAAACAATAAAAAGATGATGGTAACAGTGATGTCACGCGCGAATAAAGTGAGAAAAACAAGGCATTTGAAACAACAAATGAAAGAAAACTGTTGTTATAAGATATTGCTGTCAGAAGTGATAATGGAATATTTTTCAGTACTATTTGATTAACCCGTCAATAGCGGCTCTCACGGCATAGATAATGTGTTCTAAACTACCTTACAACATTTCAAATCTAATTCAAGCACTGTACTAATGTCACATTTATTTAGGTTATATGAAACATTACGTGTACAGACAAAGTAAATTCCTTATATGTAGTGTTCGTAGGGGAGCAGCTTTTTGGTCGGGGGAGCAAAGTGGGTGGGGGGGAGGGTTCCCCGAGCAAAGTGGGTGGGTGGGGAGGGTTTCCCGAGCNTTCCCGGGGAAAGGGGGGGGGGGGGGGGTTCCCGAGCAAAAAGTCGGGGAGTGAAACCCACGAGGGGAAACCCGTTATGGGGCAAAGCGGACGCGGGGTTACCCAAGCGAAAAATCTGGAAATAGAATCCTGGAGGGGGACGCATTTCAACTTAATTTTGAATAAAAGTTTCCCTGCCGACTTGTACTTCTGAAAGTACTCAGATGGCCGGCCAAAGATTCTCCTTGTCGGATCAAACATTCAATTCGAGGAATTTTTGGTTCACTTTGGCACCGATCATCTGCGAGCATCATTCTCCTTCGCTTCGGAACCTCTACTACAATGAATAACCTCAGCAAGCACTTCTACATCTAAACTAACGGATGCAGGCTTGACCGATGCCACAAAAACCACTGGAATTGGAATCTCTGCAAGCTGAGAATTTTCAGGGAAAATGGTCGTTTGGTTTTCGAAATTTTAACTTAAAGTGAGCGGTCGATACGAAAAATATTGCTATTATGCGCGACTGAAGTAGAAAAAGTGCCGTAACAGAAATCCGCTTAGCCAAAATCAAATAACCTGTTGAGACCATAACCTTCAACCTTTCGATGCAAACTCGTTATGGTGAGCAGAGATTGGCCTTTCGATTCTGGACCGCTCGCAAAATCACTACTTTCCATAATGACCATTCATATACAATTTCGAAAACTAGTCGGTAATTTTTCTCGAAAGCTTCTCAGTTTGTAAAGAATTGGATTCTCTTTCCAATGGACTATTTGGCATTGGCCGAGCAGATTTATGTTCCAGCATTACAGTTGCTCACAGCAGCACTATTTCTCATAATGACAATTCATTCTAAATTACACCTTCGAAAACTACACGAGCATTTTTCGTAAGAATTTCCTAGTTAGTAGATTGTTGAATATGATATTTGTCACGAACGTTGCGCTATAGCAGTTTTCCGTGCTTAATTTTCACGACTCCATTCAGTGCAATTTATTTTAGGCACGTAAATAGATTGCAAATTATCGAACAGTATGCCATTTTCGATCCAGAAGAACAATATTGGACATTCGGTTTGCGGAAAATATCGAGTTTCGCAATTGTTAGGGAATCTCCGACGGGGAGCAAACTAGACAAAGGGGAATCAGGACAAAAATCGGGGAGCAAGTTACTCGTGAGGGGGGGGGACCCGTCCGGGAGCAAAGTGGACGAGGAAGGGGACCCCGACCAAAAAGTCGAGGAACAAAACTATTGCGGAATCGCCAGGGAGCTAGATTCCCGTCGGGGCAACGAACACTATTCATAAGCGCGAATAGCATCAAATTGACATTGGTGAAAATGGTATGACTAGTACTTGAAGAATGCATGTCTTTCATTGACTGTTCCCATATGTGGATTTCTGGTGTTGATGGGTTTATTAAAAAACTTTTCAATATTCTAAGGTGCTGCGTCAACATATTGGTGGCAATAAATTGCGAACGAACGATTTCCTGTCATCATCTTCAATGAGAATTTTTACTGAATGGCTACAATTATGGTCGTATCACAGCAAAGACGAGGACAATGGTCATTCGAAGGCGATCAGTTGTGAATCTTGTCGTAAAACTGTTTCAATTATTAAGAATCGATTGAGCGATGAGGATTTCCGAGCAAATCTACAAGATGGATTTATTGACTATGTTTGTGACGGTCTTCTCCATGAAAAAGCATTTAATTTGGTTAGTGATGCTCATGCTAAATTGCGTTGATTCAATCCAGTGACGTAGTGTCATTTGAAATTTTCATAACATTACTTAAACACACAATGCAGTAATCAATCAACAAATTGCTGAAATTATCCATACTGTTATTTGTTTTTAGATTCTTGTTGTTCTTGTAAACGTAAATCATATTCGTTCATTTATTCGTCTTTTGTTGCAGTGCGAGAATCTCTGCCTCACGTACGTGCCAATTTTGCTGAATCGCTCGTTTGATTACTTGAATGAAGTTGATATTTGCAAAGATGTAAGTAAGTACATGTACTTTAAAACAGCAACAAAAAAATCTTTTCAGTCACCAAAATGATGAATTTTTCATCGCATTTTTATTATTGCGCTTATAAAATTTATAATATGGTGCTTTGAAAAGTAGTTTTCTGTCGTCGGCCATACTCGTTCAATACAATAACCATTCATTGCTGTCGGCTACAATTTACTAAAGTATCAAGCAAAACAATAATTTGAATGAACAAAGGTTTTTGTTTATCGGAAAATGTGTTGCCTGAATCATTCGCAATTCTGATTCTCCACATATGTTTCTGTGTGATTCGAACCAATCCAGCAATTCATATGTTAAGTTTCAAAATATTTCCTTAATCGCCTTCATATCTTCATTTATTTTAGACACACTCTCTTCTTTCAGAAATTACACTGGTGTTATTAACTTCTTATCACGTGTTTATTTTCGTTGAAATGGACGATAATCGAGTGATGGCTACTGTTATTTCGCCAGGTTTCGATCCAATGCAATATTCAAACGCAACTTTTTTGATTCCTTTTGATATTGTCATGAAACCACTTAAAAAACTGGCTGCAGATCAGTCGACTCTCACCGTTCCTTCCTTTGTTATGTGTGGTCGAACTGGGCTGCTTATGAAGTTGTTAGACCCAATAGTCTACACGTTTTACTTATATTAGATAATGATTAACTCTAGCTCTTCTAAACCGTCTACCCAGCTGTTATATTCGAATGATAATAAAGCAAATAAAAAAGGGAGGGAGTGGGAAGGGGTAAAGACATCGAAGGCTTATTTTACGTCATGTTTCGATCAAATACGATTGCATTTGATTGAATTTGATTTGATTCTCAATTTAGTTTCTTTCACAAAACTAATTTCCTTTTTATAATGTGATTATTTGCTGTCTCTTAATCATCTTTTGCAATCGTACAATGCACTGAGTCTTTGATTTGTTTTTGTGTGTTTGCGAAAAAAAATAATTCATCATCAACTGTTTCGTCAAGACTTTTATATTCTATAATATGGATCAACAAAGCGAGATCGTTGTGATATGGTTGTGCTGATTAAAAACTGAAGGAATTGAACTGAGTTGAAATGTGTGCTGAAATGAATAATTTGAAATCGTTTTTATATGCAATCAGTTCTTGCTTAAGTTGTGATAAATAAATTGCAAGAGAAGAGGTCGTATTTTTTCGACACAATTTGTTTGTCTTGATGATGCAGTTGAAACAACGCACGATCCACCATATGCAATTCTAGTTGGCTTGCTGGTTGCTTGCATACACGCAAACTCGTCAAGTGGTTCACTTCAAATTCATTTCGAATATGAAAACCCCAAAAAATCTTTATCGTATTTTCTGGTGCCCAAATTTATGCAATTCTTCCTTTTCCTCTTTTCCTTCGTCTAGACTAATTAACTTCGAAAGTATGAAAATATAATAAGTTCAAACTGATTTATTCGTCTATCTTGCGATTGAGAAATGCAGAAAACTGAGTAAAAAACTTCAAAACCACCGTGGTGAAAAAAGTGTACATATGTGGAATAATCTGTTGGGCGAGATACGCTAGATCTAATAAGAAAGTTTGCCACCGTAAAAAGTTTATCATTATCAATTCTGTTCTTCTCTCAGCAAATTTAAGATCGGAAAACTTGATAAACACAAGACTGATGAATTCAAAATTGTTTTTGAAAAGCCTGACTTGTTTAGAAAGAGTTCAACTCTAATGCCTGTTTGCTGTTTCATTTAGTTTTTCATTACTTCTGTTTTTGTTCTATTCAGTATTTATAAGTGAGATATAACAATTATACAGTACATCAATGAAGTTTTTTTTCAAGTGACTTTTCATGATCAAGATAGTTGAATCGAGCTGCGTTCATTTGATTCGATTCGAGGTATTGAGTGTGATAAATTGAGCAGAAGTTAGGCA